TCTTTTTCTTCGTGGTCGGGAACCAGCGGGGGTGCCACCAGTACGCCAGCGCTTCCTGTAGGGAAGGCTGGGGTGGTTTTTTGGAGAGGGGGGGGGGGGGGGTCACGCGGACATAGTCCGCGCGAGCGTTGGCTGACCAGGAGTGGCGCAACGACCGTTACAAGCTGCAAGACGGCGGCGGGCAGCAGCAGGCCAAGAGCCGACCGGCCTCCCCGTAGGAGGGGTCTCCGGCTGCCTCCGCTGCTGCTGCTGTTGCTACCCCCCGGGGATGCCCTCAAACAAGTCTCGAAACTACGCCGTGGTAAGTTGAAGGTGGGTCCAGCAGCGGAGCTGGGTGTATCTGTGTCCCCAGGGAGACAACGGGCGCGGGCGGGAGCGGGACAGCGGAACATGGGGTAGGGTAGGTAGGTGAGGCGGCGGAACGGCGGTTTGGCGTTTTCGACCCTCCCTTATCTCTGAGCAAGTACGGACTGCGGTACATACGATTTTGGAACTACACGGATTGACGGAGGGAGCACTAATGAACTGCATATAGAAACAAAGAGGGTCGTGAGTAGTATTTGAGCATCACGCCAAGAAAACAACGCGCAGCAGGGTTACTCTCGGCGGTGAGGATTCCTGCCGACCTTTCCCCGCCCTCGACTTCTTCAGCTGGACTGACTTGAAAATAGAGTTGAACGCGCGAGACATGTGTACTCCAACAGCAGCAGGCGACTCGAAGGTATGTAGGAGACATGCTTCTCACAGCAGAGAACAAACGGAAAGCTCGGGGAAACAAGGACCGCCTCGCCCGACATAGAGAGGTCTCTACCAATAGAGGGCGGCTGCTGGGGGAGGGGCAGACAGATATGGCGTGTCTGCTGCCTTGTTCAGAACCCAGAAGCAACGCAACACACACGCTGAGAGGTAGGCGAAGTCCTGTGATGGCATTTTTGGGCCCTGGGGTGAAAACACACAACAACAACATCAGGATCTGCGACCGATCCCTCTCTCCCCCCACACCCACCCCCCGGGCTACTAGACCCTCGACAGGGCCCTTGAGTCCCAACCTCCAAGGGAACGGCAGCAGTTGAGCCTTGGAACGTGGTTCCAATGTTCCCGGTTTGATACAACATGCCTCCCGTCTCCAATCCCTCTCTCACCTGGTGAATGAAGTTGACACGCGTTTTCACCTCCTGAGTTCCGCCGGTGCCTGCCGGCCTGGCTGTTCTTCTTCCGCGGGGAACGGCTCTCTCTGCCGCCCGCGCCGCCCACTCGCCTGTCTCCCCGCCGTTCGATTACAGTGCACGCAAGGCCTTCCCGTGCTTCTAGCCACGGCGTCGTCCAGCTCTTTTATCCTGTCTCTCGTATGCTCCTTCTCTTGAGAGTGAAAAGAAAGGGAACAACGCAAAGCACACGAAAAAAATGACAGGGAAAGAGAGGGACTCCCGCGGGGCAATTTCGCCATGTCGTGGATTTATCTGATTGGTCTATTCATCCCGCGAGGTGCTAGTAGTTGGACCGACCTACTATTAATATTGTACAAGATGATGTCGCTGCTTCTGTGTAGACTAGACCTCACAACGATGGCGGGAAAGCGAGCGAGAAACAGCAGGACAAGGACACACGACGGAAACGAAGGTATAATGTCGCCGTCCTATTCCTCCCTCGAAGCTGGATGGGTCATTGGAAATTGCAAGTTACAGCAGTAGACAGACTACTTCATGAACAACAACTACAAATCGGCATATATATCCAGCAGCAGTTTGCCGTGCAAGAGTGCTGCTGCTCAGCACAGCTGGTACAGCAGTATTATTGCTGTACGAGTGTCCCCTTCCTTGCCTTTGACAATGCTCTTACGAGCCTGGAACTTTTGCTGAAAAAATAGTTATTTTTCTACGCACACCGTCATAGACCCGCCTCTTCTTTGAGGTATTATTCATCATGTTCTGTTCCCTCCCTTGCTACAACATGAGGTGGGATTTTTCCTGGCTTCAATATTTTTTCCCAGAAATGGGACGACTCGCGTGAAAAGCTCAATACAAGTGGGAATGATGACTAAAGCCCCTTAGCCTTTCGGCACAAAACAAAAACCAATCATCACCCATATTTCCGTTAATAGTTGTATAGTGCGAAATTATCAGGGGGGATGGGTGCATGAATGATTCTGATGCAGCCCATAGACGGTCGCCGCCGCGTTTGGAGCAAAAACGTTGGTTGAGCGGCATATTGTATGTACTTCCTCCTCCCTCCCACAGAAAAACAGACGTTCCTTCTATGCTACGCATGCATGTTGAGAATCCCAATCCTCCTCACACCAACAAATAGAAGCACATGCATACGCACGCACGCGTGCACACGGACGACGGGCAGAACGTCACCCTTTCATTGCACTTCTTGCGCATCCGGTGCAATCCTCGAGTCGTGTCCCCGTACACGGGAGGCTAAATATGGATGGTGGCAGCGTTCACCAGAATCGGCATCGGGTAAAAGTAGTGGCGCTTCATCGTTCTGCGTTGCACATTATCAAAAGCGAAGGTGGGAGGGGACTCGTGGTTCTTACCATCACAGAGGGGACGACTGCAGTGAACATCCACTACATCCCCCCTACAGAGAGAGAGAGAGAGAGAGTGATAGCCCTTATATGCAGTAAAATTCATGCCAGGAAGCAGCTGCCAAGACTCATGTATCTCTGCTTCCTCTTCCCCCCTGCCACAGAAAAACAGACATTCCTTCTACGCATGTATGTGGAGAGCCCCAGTCTTCCTCACACCAACAAACAACCTCCAAGACTCGTGTATCTAGTCATTGCCTTCCCTTCCACGTACACAACAAATCTGCAAGCGCACCAGCCCACCCATCCGAGCACGACTAAAATCCATGACCAGTACAAGAAGACGTTCTTGCCTACTGCCTGCCACACGGTACATCGTGGGGAAAGCAAAACTTCACGGTGCAGATACCATACCGTATGGTATATCTCCGACGCTTCTAGAACAACAACGCTCCTCTCATATTCTCTGCTACCTCCTCCTCCTCCTCCCCCCCATACCGTATACTCAAAACTTAACACTAACGCCTTCTAGCACCACCACACCCCTCTCATGTTTTCTCCTCCTCCTCCCCCCAAACTATCGCCTTCTAGCACAACAACCCCCCATCTCATATTCTCTCCCCCTGCTCCTCCTCCTCCTCCTCCTCCTCCTGCTTCAGCTTGGCAGTCAAGTCCTTGTGCGCCAGGCGCGCCTGCTCCATGAACCTCTTGACCTCCCCGGGGTTCTTGACCCCCTTCGCCTCCTCCACCCCGCTCGACACGTCCACCCCGAAGCTCTCCGTGAAGATCACGCACACCTCCACGTTGTCCGGGTCGAGCCCCCCCGCGACGATGACCGGCACCCCCGCTTCCCCGACAAGCTTGGCCACCTCGTGGTCGAACGGGAGGCCGGTTCCCCCTGAAAAAAGAAAACGAAAAAAACAAAAGGGGCGGGACGAAACACAACACCGAGTACAAGGGGGAGAGGTCAAACCAAATCCGTGGATTGTTGCTGATTGTTTTCAGTCAAAGTGGTCTGCGTTGGAGACGATTTCCGGCCACGCATCCGTCTTGTCGCAGATTGACTGGGGCACGACAAGCTGACAAGAAAAGTATCAATATCAAGGAGGAGCAGTGCTCGGGAATGCATGGAGCTCAAGTCCACCTACCGCTGCCCACCAAGCAAGCGATTTTGTAGCCTTCCTTTTCCCGCCACTCTTAGCGACCGACTGATAGCTGCTGGTTGTCGACGGCTATATTAACTCCTTTAATGGGCATTAACTCCTTTTATGGGCACATTATTCCAGCTAAACACACCTCAGTTTGCTGCTAGGCGTCTATTGGTGAACCCTCAACGAGCGATACTTGGATGAAAAGGACGCTGGTACAAACACCCTTTTCTCTGGCTCCCGCTTATTCTCCTAACAACAACGTGTGTATCGCAGGTGACACAAGAAATCACACTGGACAAATCTTCGAAGCTCAGCAGCACAGAGATCGGCGATGCGATGCCGGAGACGGCGGCGTCGGAACCGTCTCGTCGAGAATCGTTTCCGCTAACGCACCGTTTGATTAGTAATACATTCCTCTTTCGTCGTGGAGTAACCTTGAAAAAAAAAACTCTCCAGGAGGGGTGCGCTATCTTCCGTCAACTCAGAAACTCTCTCCTCTCACCCTTGACGCCCTTCACCGAGGTGTCCAGCAGCACCCCGGCCGCGAAGTTCGGGGGAGCCTGCGCCAGCACCTCCTCCGCCCGCGACTTGGCCGACGGCGAGGCCCTCTCACCACCGACCAAGACGCTCTCCACGCGCTCCTCTCCCGGCGCCGCCGCCGGCACGTGCACGACGCGGAGAGCCGGCACGCCGCACTCGGCGCAGGCCTCCATGCCTTCGTCCCCGTGGAGCTGAACCAGGTCCAGGCCCGTCTCTGCGACTATTCGTCGAATCTGTTTGAG